TTCGATTATTTTCAGGATTTTTAGGAAAGGGACACTTTCATCTCTGTAGATTTCCCACACGTCCTCCCTACTTGTTTGACTTGCTCATGACCAATCTCGAAATGATTAACAGGTGCATATTAGAGAGGGCACTAGTTATGATAGGGATAGTGTTGCATTCCTGTTGATGGATGGTTGCTGCATGATCATTTGCATATAGATATACAAAAAGAAGTGAAAATTACAAGGCTAATAACAAACGAAAAAGTTTGAGATGATAGAGAGCAGTAGTAATTGAGAAAGCTTTTTTGTGAGAGGAGGTAACTATCTATCAGGAATACATTTTCAGTTTAAGAAAATGTTAACATTATCAAATAAGTTTTAATTTCTTAGTTTGAAAAGGAAATATTTTAAAAAATGATCAAACTTCACTTTTCTGTATCATGTGACACTTGTTTCTCCAAATTGCATAATTTAAATAATCTTTCCACCCCTGTTTGAGTTTCTGATTTGAATGCAAATTACTTAGATGTATAGATTATTGTTAAGACATAATCTAACTCTTATCACATACTTTCTTTACAAAAATGTCAGTAATTCTCTCTAATGTTTACTATTTTATTTATCAGCAATAAAAGGGGAAGATTTTGATTTATACTGATTTACATATAATGCTAGGTTATTCTCATTACAGCTTTTTTATTATTCTGCATATAGATATAAAGCTGTCATCGCCAATTTCAGATCAATCAGCTAAGGGAATTATTTGAATGCACTCATAGCTGAGTTAGAAAGCCAGTTGAATTATAATTGAAAATTTATGCTTTCTGCATCCTATTATTTTATGTTCTAAATTTAATATTTGAAACAAATAAAAATTCAGTAAAGTACTAACAGCAACCCTGTCAAAAATGAGGGTTAACTTTTATCAACACTTAAAGCTTTCATGCAAAAAAGTACAAGACCCACATGTAAGTACTTCATTTGTTTTTTATGTATATAAAAGTAACTGAAATGTAAAAACTAGAAGCTTATTAAATTAGATAAGAAAACATGAGTGAAAAAAATTAAATTAGATTATCAACTAAAGAAAAAGATATATTAATTTCTCCATGAGGTTTGCATGTGAGAAGCCTTTGCATAATGTAATTTGATACCATAACTTGAGCTATGTGTTTGCCAGGTGACTTCTAACTTCTTACACAGATTTAATAGTTAGACACAATTCAAAGAGCATTAAAATAATAGAATGAAAAGAAAAAACAGATGTAAACTATTATGAGCCTGAGTCTGTATAGAACAAGTAATTGTATTTTTATCTTACAATCTGCAATCATTCCAGAAAGAGAAAAGGATAATTTAATTTTATACTTTTTTATGGTGATTACAAGGCTGGTGAAATGAACCAATCCTGTATAGTGTTATAGTAAAGAAAATAACATATATATATTTTTACTGAGAAACTTCTGTTAACAGTCATTTAGGAGGCTTTAGAGGTTGTCCAAATGTCATTTGAAGCTGTAAGTTCAAAAGTATTTTTAATCTTAACATGAAAATCATCTTGCACTCAGTCTAGTCAGTTTTTTAACTTTATAAATTCACAGATAAATCTTTAAAAAAATGCATGACTAAAAAATATTTTTTTTGTATATAAAAGACTTGTTTACTCAGAGGTTTCAAAATTTTGTATAGATACATTTATTACATTAATAGTTATAGTATGTATGGTTACATGTGATTGCAAGGTTAGTCAAAATGAACAAACTTATATAGTGTTAAAGCAGATTTTACATATTTTACAATCAAACTTTGCAAAAGTATGCATATTGGGGTTTCATCTTCACATTCATACAACTAAGAAAATAATAATTTAAACAATTTGTTTTTATTGTTGGACAAAAATTGGGGGTATTAAAAATTTTGAAGTTTTTATAGGATGTGCATAATGTTCAGAAACAAAGCTTCATTCTTGAGAACAGTAATAAGAATTTATCTTTTATAAATAATGAGCAATATCTGTAACCACAAAAGGCTTGCAGTAGTTTTGTTTCTTTTTTCTATATTTTGGCTGCAAAACTATACTTTTGTTTGATAGTTATAAATATATTACATTATCAAAGTTACTAGAAATATTTCACATAATGTTCTAAGATAATAATTCCACAAAAATTTACTTTTCACAAAAACAGTCTTCTTGTAGTTGTAGGACACCATGCATCAGTATGACATCTGTATTAATGAGTCTACATGACCATGCTTACAACAGCCACTCTAGTTACTCAGCATAAACTTATTTTTTATAATTAATGGTGCAAGAATAAATCAAAAACATGATCTTATAATTAATGCTGGAAAAAAGAACTGTTTGAAAGAAACATCCACAAAAAGCAAACTACATGGATGGCATTAGAGAATTGGCCACCATAAAAGAAATCAATAGAATGTTATTCAAACTTTTCTTAGAGAATATATCATACCTATATTAAGAAATATAAGTAGTTTGAAATGGACAATATAATCACATAAATAGTACTACTTTAATTTACAATACTGCTTCTTTGTATAGACTGTGAAAAATAAAATTGAAAAATGAACATAATTTATGAGAATAGAAAAAACATATAATACTTATGAACTTCATATATGTGTATGTATATCTGTTTCTAAGTTTCTTTTAATTCAAAAAGGAACTGTTGTGCTATATTTCAGATACTTATATTTATTGTGTGTATACCATTTAGTTCTGTATGATATATACATGTATTTTAGCTATTCAGTGTATTGTATTAGTTAACATGCTATTGTAAAGCTTGGGTCATTTGTATCAGGAATAAACATCTTTTTTCAGCAGTACCTACGATGTAAATGACTAAAACATACTATTTTTTTCAGGAAACACTGCTCTACATGACTGTGCAGAGTCTGGAAGCCTAGAAATTATGAAACTGCTCCTACAGAGTGGGGCTAAAATGGATGTTGACTCATATGGAATGACCCCTTTATTAGCAGCAGCGGTAACAGGACACCCAGCTGTTGTAGAGTACTTGATTTCTCTTCCATTGTGCAGTCGTCAAGAAAAAATAGATGCTTTGGAACTTCTAGGAGCTACTTATGTAGATAAAAAGCGAGATATGATGGGAGCACTAAACTTATGGAGGAGAGCCATGGAAGATAGATACTGTAGTGACAATAAACCCTTAGCAAAACCATTTATGCCTTCTCCTATTGCAGCCTATGAAAATGCTACAGAAATTCACAACTTAACTCAGTTGGAAGAACTGATCTCTGATCCTGATGAGATGCGTATGCAAGCTCTTCTAGTACGGGAAAGAATTCTAGGACCAGCCCATCCTGACACATCATATTACATACGTTACAGAGGAGCTGTATATGCTGATGCTGGAAATTTTGATCGATGCATTAACTTGTGGATGTATGCTCTAGATATGCAGCAAATGATGCTTGAACCTTTAAGTCCCATGACCCAGAGTAGTCTTCAGTCTTTTGCAGAGCTCTTTTCATACATGATGTCAGAATCTTGGGCTCGGCAGCGATCACTCCCAAATATTTCTTTCTCAGATCTTCTTTGTGTTTTCCAGAAAGCCCTTCTTGAGGTAGAAAGGGCAATGAATCACATGCAGAAAGTACCCCCAGCAGAACGTGACTCTACCAATTTTCATCGCACATTGGTAATCTCAGTGCATCTTATAGCTCTAATGTGTCGGATTCAGGATCATATCAGCTATGAGCAGGGATTAAAGTTCAAGCAATCTGTTTATCGTTTAGTTAAGCTTAATCCTCGTGGGCGTAATGGTTGGACACCACTGCATCTTGCTTGTTATAGAGATTCTTTATCAGTTGGTCGTTATCCTGTTTGTTCTTTTCCATCCATAGAGGTTGTCAACTTGCTTCTTGAAGTAGGAGCTCTGCCAAATACTGTAGATTATGACAATAACACTCCTCTTCATGTAACAGCAATGAACAAACCTTTTGCTCACAATATTTTTAAGCTCTTACTTCAGCATGGTGCTCACTTAGATACTAGAAACTTAGATAACAAAACACCACTGGAAATGATTAACAATATTGGTCGCCTCAATGTCTACCCACTACGCCATCTCACACTGCAATGCTTGGCTGCTCAAACTATAATGAAGCATAAAGTACCCTTTAAGGATGTCTTGAGACATAATCTTGCAGCTTATGTAGAAGCTCATTGATCCTGCAACTGCCAGGTGTTCTCTGGTACTTAAAAGTAGTTATTAACTATTACAAATACCATAAAAGATTTTTGTATATACAGTTTTAAAGACAAAAAAAATCAATATAAAACCATTTTACAGATCAGTTCTATTTCTCCAGATAAAGATGAATGTGAATTTCTAATCAATAATGGGTCTATCTCCTGCAGCTGCCAGGTGTTCTCTGGTACTTAAAAATAGTTATTAACTATTACAGATGCAGTAGAAGATTTTTGTATATACAGTTTTAAAGACAAAAAAAATCAATATAAAACCATTTTACAGATCAGTTCTATTTCTCTAGATAAAGATGAATGTGAGTTTCTAATCAAGAATGGGTCTATCTCTTAACATGAGTAAAAATACTACTTTTATTATATGGCTGTCAGAAGAAAGAAAGAAAAACCTCTTTTACATGAAGTCTGTGATTTTTAAGAATATTAGGAAATGGTTTTATTACCAAAATGTACAATATCCACTTCCTTACACTAATTCCAGGGGTTTGTGTTGGAAAAATGATGGATAGTCCCTTTCTAGAATTGGTGGATAATAAGGAGCTCTAAATATCCGAGTACAGCATATTGTTGTATGAGTTACTGTAAATTTTGTTGAAACCTTAGGATTCATCATGAACCTAATTTTAATTTTTGTTTATTTTACTAATTGCAATAAATAACACATGTAAAATAAATACTTATTTCTTAGAAATTGAATAAACAATAGCTCTATTGTCTGTTTTTAAAGGTTAGAGTGAAAACAATACTAAAATTTGTGATGACCTTCTCAGGGACAAGGCATAAAGCAGGATTAAAATAATGTAAGACTTTTAAAAAAGGATGAGGCAAATAAAAAACACTGCCTGAGCATGTGTGGATTTGGAGTTAAAATTCAGAAAAAAATAATGTTTGGTTCTGTGATTGTAACTGTTAGTTTTTAATAAGAAAAGGAAGTTTCATCCTTACTTAAAACCTTTAATATTCTAAGAAAAAAATCAGAGGTAATTATTGGAAGGCTTATTTTGGATGAAGTATGGTTTTATTGATTTGTGCATAATTTTTAATATATTTCAGCTGGTTTTAATCATTTAGAATAATAGTTTTACTAAAAATTTATATTTCATAAATAAGCATTCAAATATTTATCTGCATTCTGATCATATTGACATCTTAACCTCTAAAACCTTGTCCTGCTGAACATAATTTTTTAATCTTTGTGTCAGCTGTGTGTTTAGTCTTTAACTGATTTTATGATACCTAAATGATGAACTTTTTCAAACATTTTATTTCAGTTGTAGAATATGTGTTGCTTATTTTCAGATTAACATTTAGCTTATTAAGCTATTAATCCATTTTACTTTCATTGTGTAGTAGAAGTCTGAATTTTTTTTATTTTATTCTAAGAACTTATAAGTGAAGGTAAAGAAGGATATCAAATACACTAAATCTGCCATGTCCATTGCCGATGAAACACAAATATCAACATTAGATTTTTTGTTTAATTGTTTTTTATCATATGTGAATATTATAAAGAGCAGCATTTAAAAAGTTAAGAGGGTTTTCAAATAGTTAGAGTTGCACTGTTCAATTATTGAAATTTTTTTGAGAATTACAGTTTTTTGTGGTAAAACTACACTAAGCTAAACATTCACTGAACAAACAAGACAGACAGATTATGAAATATAACAAAAGCTCTGTTGTTAAATAACTGTAGTCATAGATTATTAAGATACTAACATTTTTTTAGCAGATTCACTGATATTGGAATTTATTAATGCATACTTTATGTTGATATTTTAGAGATGCATGATGTCATTTGTATGTATTGAATATTTGAAAAAAAATGTTCTGTATGTAATTACCCCAAACCTGCACTTAAAGTACCCATGAAGAGATTCAGAAGGTCCTTTTTTCCATATTCACTTAAATATTTTTAGCAACTTCTTATCCATCTTTATCAATGATCTTTAGGTTAAATAAAGTATTAGCTTTTGCAAGCCAGTTTATGAATTATATTTTCCATCTGATACCTAACACAGTAAAGTTAGCCTATAAGTAACCTTTTCTTAATTGTTTATTTGCATTTTAAGTATTCTGTTGGTTAGTTTGGGAGAGTGTAACTCACTAGAATGTGAGACTGAATGCTGTCAGGAGAATAGGCTTAAATACAATTTTATGTAGTGTTTTATACTATCATAAATCTTTCTATCTCTTTCAAAAGTCTTATTTTCTTGGTTAATTTGTTAAAGTTTATTAAAAATTTAGAATTGTACTCTTTTTATTCTGTTATTTGACTAAAATGCATCTCAGTATTATATTAAGTACAAAAAAATTGCTTTTTTTTTCTACACTGTATACGTCAGTATTAATACACTTTAGCAGTATGTAGTTTATTAAAAATAAGTTCATATAATTTATAGGGACAAAAAGGAGTTTATTAGCCCATCAAAGACGTCCCTTCCAGCTCCCAGCACCTCTTACTACTCATGTATTCATCCAATCTTTTCTTGAACTCAGCTTATTCCAAAAGCCAACCATACTGTTTAAAAGTAATATTGTCTAAACTTCAGACAACTCCGGCTGCCAAAATTTTAAGTTATAACCACTTGTCCTATTGTTTTCACTGCTAAACACAAAAACATTTGATGGATTTATGTCAACAATCCCCTTAATAATCTTAAACACCTCAATCAAATCCCCTCTGACCATTCTCCTCTCCAGAGAAAACCAGTTTAGAGATTTTAGTTATTCGTCATAGGACAATCCCACCATTTCAGGTATCATGCTAGTGGCTTTTCTTTAAACTTTCTCTAACAAGTAAATATCCTTCTTGAGGAAGGGAACCCAAAACTGTACACAGTACTCTAAGTGAGGCCTTACAAGTGGTCTGTACAGGGAAACAAAAATATCCCTTGTCTTATATTCAATATTTCTATAGATGCTATCCAAAATCCTGTTAGCCCTATTACTAGCTACAATATACTGTTTAGAAACAGAAGGAATTCAATAAATATCTTCTTTTTTTTACACACGTTTAACCTGAAATACTTGCATATTTTTTTAAAAACTATATATATGAAAATTTTAAGTAGTAGTAATAAATAATAGGTCAGTGACTGAAAATAAAAGTATTAGACCAGTTGGCAGTTAATCACTTTGACAACAAATGGAAATGTTTCGTGTAAATTCACCAGGAATAGTTATGCATGATGAAATCATTGGATGACCAATTTACTGTGTGGAATGTTGAAGAAATGAATAACACATTTTATGTTTATTTGAGATTCATTTATTATTGATATGCACACTTTTGTTCATGCTTAAATATAATATTTCATGTACCATGTAAAGTTCTGTTCAGGATTTTTTTTAAGTGGCTTACATGATTATTTAGAGTTCTGGAATCACAGAGTTTACTTAAAGTAAATGTTTCAGATTTAGATACTCCTTGTTAATCTGGTTCTGCAAAAGTGCTTTTTGTTTAGTGAAGTTTATTCAATGCTTAATCCACAAAGTAACACTTCATTTGTACATCTATAAGTACTTGCTATCTTCTTAATTTTTACTTGAAAACAGATTTCTTGCACCACAAAATCTTTAAAAAATACAGGGATTTATAAACCTTGAATTTTCCACTAGAAATGGCATGTGATTGATAGTTATTGAACTCATAAGGATTAACATTTTCTATGCTTCTTTATTTCCAGTTTGTTTCTTGGATTGGCATTTTCTTGGCTTGTATGTTTTTGATTTTTTCTATTACATATTTCAGTAAGAGTTCTTTGAATCAGAGTCATACTGCAATTAGCTTTCTATAAATGTACAGTTTTTTTTTTTTAAAGAAAGCAAACAGTATCTGACATGTACAGTATACTAAATGTTTATGTAGGTACCTCTGAAACTCACTTTCATTGAACATATAAGCATTGTTCATTGTTTTATTTATATATATGTATATATATATATATATATTAACTTCTGTGGTTTTTATAAAATTGGCATAGTTTATTCATGGAGTAAACAGCAGAAATAATATATGGTGAAATTCTGTTACTAACTTTTAGCCATGGTAAGAAACAGCATAATACAATTAATTTTCTAACAGTGATATCTCTTCTTGCTGTTACAAATTACTAGATAAACAAAACATTTGATTTGAGAGGCATTGTACATCACATAGGAATGAGGATTACCATCTTCGATATGTTGACAGTAAAGTTAAAGTAAGATTATGAATAGATAGTTTTGTTTTTAATTAGAACTTAAACCGTTTTAACCATAATTGACTTATGTTCCTGTCTGTTGTTGTTTTTGTGTTTGTGTGAAAATGTATATGTTTGTTAAACAAAAGTTGTGGATAAATTAAGAATGTGGATACGCCACCACGCACGTTAGAAACATAATGTTTTTTGTTTTGTTTTTTAAAGAATATGATGCTTTTCAAGAAAAATGAAAACATTTTCTAGGAGAGGGACAATAAACGGCAGAATTATTATTCAAGATGGAGTAAGTAACAAAAAGTACAGTAATAGTTAGAATGGGTTGTAAAAACATAGCGCGCGTGCACTATTTCGAAAGTTGGCCAATCTAATCTAATGGCTTATCTGCCTTACAAGTGTGACAACCACTAAGTATGGGGCTGCTCGTAACGTTAGTGATTAAATTCCTCCTCCTTTTAAAACGAAGAGTATAGATTAGGAAATATTTATTCCACATATAAATAACACGGTTTTCTTCTTTTTACGTACATCAAGTTTAAATAAGTTGCACTTCTTTTCTCCCTTATTTCTTTAGGTTGATAAATGGACATTGTTGTTAAGTTTTGAATTAATCTTACTTTTTGGATTGTTTACGTTATTTCTGTAAGAACTGGTTATTGTTCACGTCTACGAATTGCAAGGTTCAATGTTTTAACATAAATAATGTTTACTGTAATTTGAGATAACGTCAGTCTAACACCCTTTCTTGTACATGTGTGTGTGTGTTTTCACGCGCTGTTAGTAGTATTACAGTAAACCACAGTTTTTGATGGGTGGGTACATTACCATCATTTCTACACTGTTATTCCTCTCTGCAAACATTGATATTTGCATTGTCTATGAATTATAGACACCAGCAAAGATTCCAGTATTTAAATTCTGTTGTCAGAAAGTACAGTCTTCTAGGTACAATTAAACTTGGATAAAGGATAAATTGGCACGTCTAAATGGACACTTTTTCTAGTTTGTTTTGTGCGACGTTTCGAGCAGACGTCCTTCGTCTGGCAGTAAAGACTGTGATACAATGGAATTAGGCTAAGTCGTGTCATTTTATTTTTCTATTATCTTTTATCCAAGTTTATCTTCTCACGTCTTGCGAAACAACACTCATTCAAAAATTAGGTACAGTTAAACCCATTTCAACAGTATCATATGTATGGCTTTGCAAATTGTGGCCTGCTACAACTTTTCGGTTATTATTAAAGATAGCGAAACTTGTGTAAAGTTTCTGAATTTTCCGCTTCTACTTACTAAGCAGTACGTATATATATTCTAGTTGCGGTTTTTGTTTATATAATTTCTTTAAAGAATAACGGTCCTTTTTTTTTGAATACATACTTTTCTTGCCGTCAAAATCCACTTTAAATTTTTAGAACAGATGTAAGATTTTTTCTGATATGACCAACTTCGTCCACAGTTTTTGAAATATTGGTAGGATATTTTTGTTAAGTTTTTATCTTTTATTTATTGATTTTTTTATGTGTGCCACCACATTGTCTAATTTGTTATTGTTAGCAGGTATATTTTATTTTCTTGCTTGTTTACGTCTAGCAGTGTGTAGTGACAGTTGAGCGTCTTAAAACTTCCTAGAAGTTTATTTTTTTGAAAACTAGCAGTAAGCAGAGGTAATGAATATTAACAGTACTGAATGCTCTGGTAACTGCTGAAGCTAAGATTGTTTTTGTGCGAAGTTTTGAAATGGGTGTAAATGTGGACTTTGTGTACATTATGTTTATAACTGGAATGTTGTGACGACATTTGTAGAAATGAAAAACTAATAAAATTAATTAATACAGCTTTGTTGTTTTATCTTATCCTTATAAAATATTACTGTGTAGTTGCACTAGCATGAGATATTAAAATTGTGTGCATAATGATATGGATAGCACGTGAAAGAACATGGTTTATTATATATACACCTGGAAAAAGTTAAGCACCCCCAAATATTTTTCAGGATTGCTTATTGAAAATAAGGT